CCCCGGGCGAGCAGGTGGGCCTGGGAGGGCGGCCAGAGGGCCGGGAGGGCTGCGTGTCTGGCCTCTGGGCCCCTGCGCCCCGCTCCTGATCTAGTCAGTCCAAGCCCTGGCCCCCAGGGCCTCAGAGCGGGACTGACTTTGGAGAGGAGAGAGGGGATTAAGGTTAACCGAGGGCACCGGGGCGGGTGCAGACCCCATCCGCTGCACGGGGACGCTGCCCCACGCGGGGACCGCGAGATCGCGGGGAGAAGACGGCACCTGCGGGCCGAAGCCCATCGGGAGGCCCCGGGGACCCCGGCCCGGGTCTGCGGCGCTCAGGTCTGGGGCGGGACCGCGGGGGCTGGGCCGGCTTCTGCGGGGCGCGGGGCGCGGGGCGCGGGGCGGGGGCGCGGGGCAGGGGCGCGGGCAGGGCGGTCGGGGCGCGGGGCGCGGGGGCGGGGGCGCGGGGCAGGGGCGCCGGGCGCGGGCAGGGCGGTCGGGGCGCGGGGCGCGGGGGCGGGGGCGGGGGCGCGGGGCGCGGGCAGGGCGGTCGGGGCGCGGGGCGCGGGGGCGGGGGCGCGGGGCGCGGGCAGGGCGGTCGGGGCGCGGGGCGCGGGGGCGGGGGCGCGGGGCGCGGGCAGGGCGGTCGGGGGCGGGGGCGCGGGCAGGGCGGTCGGGGGCGGGGGCGCGGGCAGGGCGGTCGGGGCGCACCGTCCAGAACCGCACAAACGTGGGGATGGCTTTGGGGCGGCAGCGGCAGTGGGACGAGGACACCTCCCGAGGGGCTCCCGCCGACCACCCCTCAGACTCAGACCCCGTCCGCGTCCTGCCCCCGCCCCCAGCCCGTGGGAAGTCAGCAGCGGCGGGAGGGGGGCAAGGCCTCGGGGTGGGGGCGGGGCGGGGCGGGGCGGGGCGGGGGCGCGGCCCCGGGTCCAGGGAGGAGCCACCCCAGCGAGGTGAGCCGCACCTCTGCGGAGCAGGGGCCCCTCCCTGGGGTCAGGGGGCGGGGCCCGGCTCCGCTCGGTGGGGGAGCCGCAGGGAGGGCGCCCGGAGGAAGCCCACGGTGCGGGACGCGAGCGGGAGAGGCTGGCGCGAACGCGTGGGCGGACCGGGGCCCCACGCTCCCACGCCCGGCCACCGGAAGCGTGGGGCCGGCGCCCTGTGCCCTGGGGCGGGGGGGGCGCTGGCCGCTTCTGCAGCCTCCGGTGCTGCCCCCGTTTATCTCCCCGAAGCCCAGTGGGTGGGAGGGAGTAAAAGCGCTGGGGTCCCTCGCCCAGACCCACGGAGGATCCCCCCGACTGGCGCCCCCAGCCCCACACGGGCCGGGAAGGGCCGAGCTGGACCCTCGCGGTCAGGGCTGGGAGGTGGCCGCCTCGGGGGTGGGCCCGGTCCCCACCTGCCCTGCGGGCCCGGTGCGTGCAGCGCTGCCGCCACCTCGTGGCCACCCTGCGAACTGACCCGAGCGCCGGCCGCTGCTGCGGGGAGGGGGCAGGGGCTCTGCAAACCCTCGGGTCCGGGTCCGCGGAGCAGGACCACGCGGAGCAGGACCACGCGGAGCAGGACCGCGGCGGCAGCAGCGAGGCCGGGCACTGTGGCAGCAACCGGGCTTGTCCTGGAGGCGGCGAGCACCCGGAGAGCCGAGGCCCCTGAAACGACCCGAGTCAGAGGGGCAGTGCCCCGGCGGGGTGTCTGGAGCAGAGGCTGTTCTGGATTGGGGGGGGGGGTCCCACCTGGGCCCACACGTGGGGAGCATCTCCCTGACAGGTGCTGTGCTATTCGTCCTGTTATTCCTTACCCCAACCCTATGAAGGAGCAACGGTAGAGTCCATTTTACAAGTGAGAAAACGGAGGCACAGAGAGGTTAATAACTTGCCTAAGGTCACACAGCTCAGAAGTGGCCAGGCCTGGATTTGCCATTAGGACAGTTGGAAAGGCTGGAGGCTGACACTGGGGTGAGGGGTGGGCAGGGAGGTCAGGGTGGGGTTCTGGAGGCTCAGGGAAGCCAGGAGGGAGTGTGTGTGTGTGTGTGTGGGGGGGGGGGGGTGGAGCCTCCAGCCTGCAGCTCTGCTGACTGCTTCCCACAGCCCCCAGGGGCTGCCTCCTACGTGCCCCTTCCCCAGCGCATGGGCTGAGTTCCACCCATGTCCCTGGCCTGCTGCCACCTTCCGAGGCAGCTGGGCCCAGCAGGAGCTGCTGGTGCCTCATTAATCCTGTCCCGATGCCCCCACCGGCAGCTGGTCCTCTTTCATGTGGGGCCTCCGACTTCCTGCCACTGCCCAGGGACTCCTGGAGCGGGGCCTGGGGCCTCAGACACAGCCCGCTGGGACCAGAGCTTCCTCGTGCCCCCCAGCCCCAGCGGCTGTCTCTTGGGTGGAGGGGGGGTTCCCCAGTGTTGCCCCTGCAGGGAAACCTACCTGCTGGCCCTGCCACCTGTCCCACCACGCCTCTCCAGCCTTGGGCCCTATCACAGGCCCTCCCTGACCTCCCGGCCCCATCACATCAGCGCCCTTCCCTTCATCCAGAACACGTAGCGCCTTTTGTCCATCTGTCCTTGTTGGCCCTTCCCTGCTGAGGGATGCCCTGGGTTCAGCGCTTAGAACCACAGCTGGCCCGCAGCTGCGCTCAGGGGAACCACACCCGGGCAAGAGAAACGATGTGCCCACTCTAGCCATGGACATGGCCACGAGCCCCTAGAACCAGCCATGGAAAGTTTCCTTTGCTTCCGCACTTGGATCCTTGTAAAATCACCACTCACCATGGGGGGGGGGGGGCGCCAGTGAAATGGTTCGGTTACTGCCCTGGGGGACAGAGGAGGGTTGCAGGCACTGGGGTGTGAGCTGAGCAGGGGGGAGAGGCTGCCGTGCAAAGGACTGGGTCCCCCTCTTCCATCACTTAGTGTGTGACTAGGCAAGACCTTGGTTCCGAGCCTCAGTTTCCCCACCTGTAAGCAGTGATGAAAACCGTCAACCACACAGGGCTGTTGTGACTGTGGAAAAGCGCAGGCCAGGGTCCGGCACACAGCAGGAGCTCCGCTGAGGGAGGGAAGGCTGAGGGAGCTGCAGGGGAGGGAGGGAGCCCACCTCTCACCCCGGGCTCTGGGGTCAGGCCTGGGGACAGAGGTCTGGGGGCAGATGGTGCACCTGTCAGAGCTCATGAGGACAGTGTGCCCCACCAGGCGAGCAAGCATGAGTGTGTGTGTCTCAGCAGTCTGGCCAAGCCAGGAGCGGGGCAGTGACTGATCACTCCTTTCTGACCATAGGATGCTGCTGACCTCGGCCATGCAGGGAGCAGCTGAAGAAGGTTCACACTGCGGAAAAGGACTTTATCCCGTGTGTGGAATCAGGCACACAAATCAGCTTGCTGCTCCCGACGCTGGTGGGCTGGCGTGTCGGGGCAGCCAGCGAGGAATAGCCAAGGAAGCGATGTGCTATCATGAGTGCTGACCCAAGAGGGCGGCAGGCCTAGCAAGATAAAGCAGTCTGGGTCCATTCGGAGGAGGGCCAAAGTCCCCAGCACGTGGCCACTCTGTGCGATAAGGCAGGCTAAGATGGAGGGGGTGCTAACACCCCAGGGGCAGCAGGGAGCAGAAGTGGCCAGTGACAGTGTGGTACACGAACTCTGGCTTCTTCCCAGCTTTGGGTAAGAGTGGCCCGGGCAGGCTGGCAGGGCTCTGCACCCTGGCACGGGGGTCACCTGCCAAAGGACTAGCCCATGTCTAGGAGCCACTGAACACCTGGTTAAAACCGGAGTCTTCCCGTTGCCTGGGCTAATGTCTGGCTCGTGTGTGCGGGACACAGGAGGGAAGCTCCAGTTTGGACCAGCTGAGCCTAGGAGGCATGGAGGGCGAGGGCCTAGGGGACCTCCACCTCACCAAAGCCATTGGACCAGGCCCCTCCCCCAAAAGAGGTGGTTTAGGTTGGAGAAAGGATAGATGTAATGTGCAACTGCCACCTGCCTCCAGGCTTGGCCCATCTGCAAGCCCTGAAGCTTGGCCCAGACAGGACACCCCTGCCCCCCTGCTTAGGGAACGGACAGGCCCAGGGGTGTCCCTGGAGTTCTTTGCTCTACCTCCACCTGGTGGGCTGGCAGGGCTCAGTCTCCTGCATGCTCAGCTCAGGCCACAGCCCTTAGATCACTGGTGCCACCATCCTGTCACTGGTGGGAGCCAGTGGCTGCTCAGAGACAGGCCCAGGCCACACTCCAGGTCCTCCCAGCCCAGGGCTTCTGACCCCGCTGTCTTCCACAGGCTGACCTTTCAGGCAGCTCAATTGCTCTTGCCACACAGCAGCCCACCGAGGGCTGGGCCATGACACTCCAGCCTGCCTTAAGCAGTGACTCTCGGGGAGCCAGGAAAGGTGGCTCCTCAAGACCAAGCTCTCAGATTGCCATGCATCGAATAAGAACAGACACCCTGTGCCTGGCCTGTGGCTCAGCTGCCGAGCTGTGTGCCAAGTCACCCGAACTGAGCCTCGGTGCTGTCATTTGAAAAATGGGGACAATGTGCCAATGCACAGGGCAACGCCCAGCACATGGTAAATGACAGCAGCTATGTGGTTTTCCCTGGGCTGGGGCAGCTCATGTGACCCTGAGTCACAGACTCGGCACCTGTGAGATGAGACGGTAACTTCACTTCCCCAGCATCACACGACAAACTCCATGATCCTGCGTGTGGCCTAGTGTGGTGCCTGGCACCTGGGCCCCAGACAGACTGTCCACACTGTCACACCCACTCCCATGGGCTTCCCGTTGCCGGGGCTGGAGGCAGTCTGAGGGAGCCAGCAGTATGGAGGTGCCCCCGGCATGGAGGGATGCCACGGAGATGGTAGTGGGGCCTCCCAGCAGGGCAAGTGACTGCACCTGCCCACACCTGCTCAGAGGTGTTGCTGGATGCCCCATCCTGCTGTTCCACTTGTGCCATCTGCAGGTGCTTAACTCCTGGGTGGCCCCCAGCCCGGCCCCAAACCATCCCTGTCTGGTGAGGCCAACAGGTCACTTCCCAGCTGGAGACTGAACGGCATTGCTAGCAGGATGCTTTTCTATCTTTAATTGGGTTACAAAAGACACCTCTCCCAGTACAAGGTCGGCCAACAGGTGGGTGGGCCCAGTGCCCGGGGGGAGCCTCGCTTGGGAGGGACAGAGCGAGGATGCAGGGAAGGCAGTGGAGGTCATGGGGGTGCTGCGGACAGCCCCGGAAGCCTCCCCTCTGCAGCCTGGGGCTGGTGAGGCCTCCCCGCACCGTGTGCAGTTTCGTACCTGGACAGCAGGCAGCTTGGCAGAGGGCCACACACCCCGCCTTCAGCAGCTACCCAAACCTGGGGGCCCCACAAGCAGGTGCTGGGGAACAGACCCGGGGCTGTGACAAAGCTTGTGCCATATCCGGCCCCTAGCCAGGCCTCGACTGGCAGTGTGGGCTCCTCCGGGGTTGCATCCAGGAAGGGGATCACCCAGGGCAAGGAGTCACACCAGGGAGACCCGGCAGCCAGCCTGTCTGTCACAGGACCTCCTGGTTTTCAGCAAAGTAGTGGTCGGTTGGGGCAGAGGAGGAGGCAGAGGGGGCCCAGCTCCCAACGGGAACCTGTCCTGTTACCCCAATTCATCCAGCTGCCCCTCCACAGCCCAAGTGGCGAGGCCCAGCATGGCTGGGTCAGCCCATCGTCGAGGAGGAGAGAAGGGGTAAGAAGCCATCCTCAACGCAGCCTTAACACCGAAGGAGGGAAAGCAGCCCCGGCCAAGGGGAATGAGAGCAGCAGGGGCTCGGGCTGCAGGCGCCAGGCCCCCTGCTCATAAGGCAAACAGCGTGTCCTCCTCTTTCTCCTGGCTCTTCTTTTGAGGGGCAGCGCCACGAGCAGGACCCGGGGGGCCCTCAGCTGAGGGGCTGGAGAGGTTGGGCAATCGATCGGCGGCTTTGGCCCGTTCTTCCAGGAACTTGTCAAATTCTACAGGAACAAGAAGGGGACTAGGGGTGGGTTCTGCGGCCATAGGGGAGAGGGGCGGGCGGGCAAGTGGGCAGGGCACCCTACCTTCGCTGGTGACGCCCTTGGGCTCCTCCGCGTCATTCCCCTGAGAAGGCAGGAGGCAGAGGTTACCACAGGGGTCCGGGCGTGGGATCGGGGGTAAGGGTGGACTCAGCCTCTGGCTGGGCCCAGGACCCGAACCTCGGCCCCACCCCTTCCTGAGCTGCAGACTTGGGTGTCACCTGACTGCTCCATGCCTCAGTTTCCCGCTTGGTAAAACTGGTTGTCGAGAAGCTAAGACGGTCATCACACTGAGTGCCAAGCCCCGGGTGTGGTGTGTAGCCCCTGGGTCCTAAGTAGCAGTCCCTTTCCTGCCCGGTGTAGGTGGGCAGACTTGCCCTTGTGGTGGGAAGGGACCCAGAGGTGGGGACCACACAGGCTACAGGTGGGGTGAGGATGCCTTTGTGTCCACCTGACATGGGCCCTTGCCTGACCTGGGGCAGAAACACAGCCTTGGCCGTTGGCAGAAGGCAGCCTCTGTACCTGGGAGCGCTCAGGCCCTTGGTTGTTGGTGCCCAATGTGGGGGCGGGAGATGCGGGGGAAGGAGCCCGGCTGTCGCTGTCGCTGGGACAGCAGAGGCTGGCTGCCCCTTCTGCTGGGGGAGGGGGGGGCGCAGGGCTCTGCAGACAGCCTAGGCCCCTGCCTCCCCCAGGGCTCAGCAGTCTCCTGGTCTGTAAGACGGGGCTGCTGCAGGTGCCTCGCGGACAGGCCTGGGGGCTCAGCGCTGCCATGCTTACCCTCAGCCCCCCTCCTCCCCTCGGGCTGATGTTCCCAGGGACCCATGGTGGCTCAGGCAGCTGTGAGGTGTGCAGTGCCCAGGCTGCCTCCGAAGGGAGTGCCCCGAGGGGGCGGGCGGGGTGGGAGTGCCCACATGGATGCTCCGTCCTTGTCATGTTCACGCTGCCCGTGACGTCCTTCCTCGTGAGAGAAACGGCCCGCTGTCAGGTGGGTGAGGGATGCGCCTGAGGCTTTGCTTCTGGGCTGGGGGGCCCCGACTCACCACGTCAGTGGACAGCCACTGCTCGATGTCCTCCATGAGGCAGGCCTGGGTGACGGGGATCTGGAAGGAAGGGCGGGGGAGGGGGAGGACGGCAGTGAGGGGCAGTGCACTGGGTGGAAGGCCCCATAAGCTTGGGGCCCATAGGTTGGCCGGCCTATGGCGTCACCCCCAACCCTCAAGCTTCCTCACTTATGAAGTGGGGCCACATGTGCCCCACACCCTTCTGGGGAGGTCAAGATCCTGGTATCCCTCCAACGTGGCTCCTGCCGCCGTGCTGGGCTGTGGTCAAGGGGGATGCAGGGCCAGTAGCTAGGCAGGGGGCGGGGACGTGAGGAAGGGACGGACCCCCCTGCTGCCACATGCCAAGCGTGTGGAGGAGCATCTGATGGAAGAGTATTTGAAGTCCAGGGAGGGGCTGACCCTGTGTGGTAGGGAATGGCTTGGGCCAGGGGTGGCCGGCCTGTCTCCCGGCCCCTCTGGGGACTCTGAGCTCATGGTGGCAGGGCAGAGAAGCGCCGGAGTGCAGGGAGGTGCCCAAGTGCCCAGACAGGCCAGGCTGCTGACTCGGGGGCTGTGTGGCCGCTCACAGGGCCTTTGGCTCTGTGCCACAAACACGGGGGCTGGGGGCTTCCTTTTATGGTGTGAGGACCGGGGGGGGGGGGGGGGCTTTGGGACAGAGTCAGGGACGGCAGTCTGTCCTGCCCTTCACACGTGTGGCTTGGGCAGGTGACTTCTCTGACCCGGCTTCCCTCATCTGCAGAGTTCACTCGTACCTACCTACCGTACCTACTGTCCAGGCTGCTGTGGGAATGAAAGGAGGGGACGGACAGAAGGACTCTGGCAGGGGGAGGTGCTGAGAAGCGCAAGGTACTATTCAGCTACTTTGGGAAGAGAGAGAGATGACAGTCCATCCCCAGCCAAGCCAGTTCTGTCCCCAAGTTCACTGTCCCCAGCACCAGCGGGCCCCAGTGGAAGCAGGGCCTGGAGCAGAGCAGGAGCCCACTTTCCGGCGGCAGCACATCCTCTAGCTGCCCACACCAGCTCCTTCCCCACTCAGCACTCTGCTGGCACTTGGCCCAGAACCAGAGAGCCCAGTCACCTCCCAGCTGCCAGGCGGGCCACCTGGCCTTGCTTCCGAGTCAGGAGCCGGAGCCGGAAGCAGGCCCCAAGGAGCCCTGGAAGCGGGGGCAGAGGAGGTGGGACTGCGCTGAGTGCTGGGTGGGGGGCACCCACAGCACCCCTAATTCCTAACAGTCCACCCCCTCCAACAGCACCCCTGGGTGGAACCCCTGCTAGTGGCAGCCTTGGCTTTCGGGGTCAGCCAGCCTGGTCTCTCCTCACCATGCCTTGTCTCATCATCCAGGCACTGAGGCTCTTCTCACTGCTGCCTCCCATCTGGGTGAGAAAAGGTCACGCTGTGGTGGGAAGGGCAGGGACAGGGCCACTGGTATGCTGGCAGCCTTCTCCAACGTGGACACTCCTTTTTAAGTAGCTAGGCCTATTACCACCTTAGGAGGCCTCGCATGTGTATGGGTGTGTGTGTGCATGCGTGTGTGTATGCACACCTGTGCAGGTACTGGTGCTGTGGTGACAGGTAAGGGGACCAGGAAGCAGCAGAGGGTGTCTCTACAGAGGCCCTGGGACCCCAGAGTCCTGAATGAGCCAGGCAAAGCTTCTCCTCCCTTTCCCTCAACTTGGGGACAGACCTGAGCAATCCCAGCATGCAGGCAGCTGTTAGCCAGTCCCCTGGCTGTCCGGGGACTCTGATGGGTGTCTCGGGATTGGAACACTAGCTTACTCAGTTCCCTTGTGTTTATCGACGGGCAAACAGGATTCCTGAGGACCCGGATGATGGGTGGCAGAGGGGGACTGGAGTCCTGCCTCCCCAGTCCTGGACAGACCGGCTCAGAGTGGCACACGCTGTCCAGCACCCCCAGTCGTGGGACTCATGAAGCCTGGGGCAAACACTGGCTGCCCGTAGAGCTGGCTCTGGATTCCATGCTGTACTTTGCTGCCTGGAACCCAGCCTGACAGTTAGTGGGAGAAAGCCTTACAACCACCCAGCCAGATGTACACACCTTGGAGGCAGGTGGTTATGGACAGTTTTAAGAACATCATACCCTCATCTGATGGAAGCTGCTTAAATTTCTCGAGTGATCAGAGGAATAAACAGTAACTCAGCAGCTTCTGCTTTTTGGCAAGTAGAGGTGTGTGTTTTCTCCTTTTGGCTAACTTGCAAGGTGGTGTAGGAGCCAGGAGATCCAGGTTCTAGTTCTTTGGTGCCCCTGACGTGTGTGGCCCTTGCTGTGTGTCCCTGGGTGAGTGACACCTGTCTCTGGGCAGCAGCTCCTGCAGCTGCAACTAGAAGGGGTTGGCTGTAGAGTTAACCTCTGCCCCCGAGAAGCCAGGTGGCCCGAGAGGGAACAGCTTCCAGCAGGCTTCCAGAGTGTTCACATTCATCTGGATTCCAGGAGCCAGATTTTCTGGAGAGTTCGCCTGTGTTCCTTAGAACTCTGCAGCCATCTGGGGCTCTTACTACCAGCACTGGCTGTGGAGCCAGAAAGACCAGCAGCTGTCAAACAACCTCGCAAAACCAAGCCTTGGTTTTCCTGCCTGTAGGTGGGGAGAAGCATCCAGCAGCGCTGGGAAGGTGAAAGGCCTCACTCTGTGCCAGGCGCTGCACTAAAAATGTTAAACCTGCTGCCTCACTTGGCCTGTCAGTGGATCTCATCTGCCCAGGAGGATAGTAAGATGCCCTCAGGGTCTGTGTGAGGCCTCAGAGAGGCACACACAGGGCACAGGTTGCACAGATGACCACTTACAAAGGAAAAGAACAAGAGGCTCTGAGACACGGGTGTGAGTGTGCTCTGCTTGGTGCCCGGGCACAGTACATGCACGTGTGGGAGGCGTGTGAAGCTCGAGCTGCTCCTGCCTCCATAGTGCCAGGTCTTGCTCTGCTCTGACTTGGGAATGATTCCTAAGATGCTGGGGACACCTCTGGGGAGTCTCTGGGACGCCCTACCCACGGGCATCCTGGGCAGCTTCATCTTTCTACATTCCCCTCCACTCAAGACGGACCATGACCTCCACCTCACACGGGGCTCCTAGCTGTCCCTCAGGCTCTGTCTCCTGTCACTCAGTCCCACCCGGGCCTCAGAGGCCTGTGCTGTCACCGGCCCTTTCCTCTGCCAACCCTTCGCTGCTCCTGCCTCTCCGACCCCCGGGCCCTGCCGTTTCTAACTGCCTCCCCAGGAGCTACTCTGTCCACTTACTGGAACAAGAATTCTTGCCACCCCAAAGGCATCCAGGGATGAATTCAAAGGGATGAGAACTAGACTTGGAGTTCCTGCCAAGGTGGAGGGGTCACCCAGAGAGGGTGCCCACTGGGCACTTGGCTAACAGTCCCCCACATGGCCAAGCACTTCGATGGAACTAAAATGGTTCCCAGATGGCCCCCTGCAGCTTAGGGTCTGTCCTTTGGGCCTCTCTGTCCACACTCCTGCAGACAACAGTCTCTGGAGGATGTTGACAGAGCTCTAACTCCGCCAAGCACCTTGAACGCCCCTCCGACGCATCCTACCCAAGGCCGCTACTCAAGTTGGCGTTGTGCCTCAGGACGCACAGCTGGGAAGCCGTGGCGCTGGGATGGGAGCCCAGGCTACGGAGTCCAGCTCTCTGGTTCACACTCGGGCTGTCCAAGTCCTTGCTCCAACCCTTCCTCACTGTGAAGTGGGAATCACCACACTAGCTGCAAAGGGCCAACTGCAGAACCATGTGAGGAAGGGGCCAGGGCTCAGTGCACGGGGAGGCCGGTGGGCAGGTATTCCCTGGTCTTCCTTCTGGACAAGATGGCAGCAGACCCTCTGCTTACCGCTCCAGTGCTCTGCTGTCGGGCATCCAGGGCTCCCGCCAGACCATCTCTTGCTTGGGGGGCTTCATATTTCACCCTGAAACACAGAGACCCCCACAACCGTGAATGCTGCCCTTGCTGTACCAGGCGTGATGGGATGCAGGGGTGGGTGGGGACGAGCCAGACTCACATCCTGTGTGGACCTGCCTGGGTAACGGTTGACCTGGGCTCAGACATGTGACTATGACAGGTGGCGGCAAGGCTGAGGTGACAGAGGCTGGTGTCCGCCAATGGCTCTCACTCCAGGTATAAGAAATAGCCCCAGTGCCCCATGCCCATGGAGAATTTGTATCTCCAGAACCTTCTTTGAGGAGCTTCCACTTTGTGATGTAATAAATCGTGGTTCTGTGTAAGGCCACCTTTGGATGGGGAGTTCCCTTCTGCTGCTCAAAACAGCCACACAGACGGCAAAACAGCCACGCAGATGGCTGGGTGGGATGCCATCCGCATGGCTCTCCAGCATGAAGCTCTCCCCTGCCCTGCCCTGGTAGCCTGGTGGAGGGGCCTCTAAATTCCTGGGTGATGCCAGCCAGCCAGGCAGGGCACAGAGCACCGGGAGGGTGTTTGCTGTGTTTGAGGTGAGTCTCGGGGTGGGGGGATGTGCCAGAGGCCTTGGGGACCCAGCCCTGACTCTGGGAAAGAGCACTTATTCTCCCTCTGAAGCATCAGCAGGAGGGGAGGGCTCAGCAACGTCCCAGCCCAGGCTTGAGGGGAAGAAGTGCCTCGCACAATCGCAGCCACAGAAGGAAAAGCCCTGCACTTAGGGGTGGGCCAGGTCAAGGCTTCAGAACTGGGGCCCCATTGAATGAAACCCCTGCAATGCCAAATGGCTTTCCTGGGAATGGGGGAGACCTGGCACTTCAAATGGCCTCTTGAGTAAGACCCCAAATTCCCAGGCAGCTACTTTGACAGCCCTGCCACCCACTGCCTCCTGCAGGATGCAGAGTTGGCCAGGAGAGTGCAAGCATTAGCTAGCTCATCCCCCAGTTACATGGCTCCTTCCACTGGTGAGCTTCGGACTATCTGCAGGGCTGCGCAGGGGGTGGTGGTGGGGGTGGCAGGTGGGGTGCTCACGCCCTTCTGGACAGCAGCTTTGCAGGCCTGGCTGACTCTGGGCAGTGAGAGCCGCTGAGGAGGAAGTGATGGCTAAGACTGAGCCATACGTTCTGACCCAGGGAAGACCTGCCCACTCAGGCTATGGAAGTAGCCATGTTGCTTTCCCTCTGAGACACGGCAGGTGTGTCATGGAAAAAAAGTAGAGTAAGGCACATCCAGCCCTACGAACATACAGAAACTGATCCTTTTCTTCACTCAAAAGAACTACATGTTCTTTCCCAATTATATCCCCCACCTCTGCTTTTCTGTGTCTCTCCAACCCACAGAGCCCTGAGGATGAAGCTTGGCCATCCCCTGGGCCAAGCCTGTGGCAGTGGAGGGCTGAAGACACTCCCACCAGAGGAAGCCCACAAGGCCCACTCCCAGCTGTAGATGCTGGGCCGGTGTCTGCTGCAAACATCCAGTGCAGGCAGGAGTGGGGACGGCTACCCCTCAGAGGGGTGTGGGGGGCTGGTGGACAGGGGCTGGAGCTAGTGCCACCTGGATGACAGTGGCACTGGGGGGGGGTGGTGGGGAGTGGAGCGTGTCCCCAGGATGATGATACAGAAGAAGGTGAGGAAGAGCAATCCACTTCCAACAAAGCCTGGCTAAGGCGCTCTGAGTCTGGCTCATTGAGATGCTCCCTATTGCTCTCATTGGCGTCCCAAGTGGAAAGGCCTGGTCAGCTAGAGGCCACGATGGTGGCAGCTGCCGTCGAGGCTGGAGCAGAAACAGGGACTCACAAGGAGCCGGTTTCCTGGTGAGCAGTCGCAGAGCTGGTACAGATTAGAGGGAAGTGGGAGCCAGAGAGGCAGAGGGAGGTGTGGGTCAGACACCAGGTGGGCAGAAGAGGCCTCAGATGATTCAAGCACCCTGGGAAACAGGTGGAGGAGGGGAGTCTAAAGGCCGGTCAGGGCTAGAAGATCCAGCTGAAGCTGGGGGGGGGGGGGGAGGTAATTACCAAGCAGAACAAAGAGGAACTCGATGCTAGGGCACTCTCATCCCTGTGGGGTGCTTTTTGCTGTGGAGGAAACTAGTCCCCAGGGAGGGCCTGCGAGGACCCATGACCCAAGAATGTATATACAGGATGTGCCCTCCCCTGGCATCTCATGCTCCCCCTGCCTCTGAGCTTTGTACTCACTGTTCTTTAGCCTGAAATGGCCTTCTTGACTCTCATCCTGGAGGTCCAGCCCTGAGCCCCCTCTGTAGAGCTGCCTGCCACGACATGTGTCCGTGGAGCCTGGCCCACCCCTCCAGGAGAGCATGTAGTGTGGCACGGCAGTGGTCTGTGCATCTTACTCCCCATGAGGTTGCAGGCTCTGGAGAGCAGGGACTAGGTAGGCTTTTCTCTGTCCCCAGGGCCTATTCCCCAAAGGAGCGATGGCATAAAAGCAGGCCTCAGCCAGGATGGCAAGCTGGACTACCCTCCAGGCTGCAAATCCCACTGGACTCATTAGCTTCCCTCCACACCACGATCTCACAGTGCCCCAAACTCCATGGCAACCGTGAGCTGCTGGGCCCTGAGCACCGCAGCCTGGGTGTGCAGACTCCCAAAGATGCAGCTCCTAGCCCAGGCTGCCTACGGTCAGCTGCCAGGGCTGAGTAGCCCCATGCAGCCAGGCTGGCTGCAGCCTAACGGATTTGACCTGGCTGTGGTGTGGTGAGGACATCCCAGGGCCCCCGGGGGCCCACTGACAGTTCCCAGATAGGGCAAGGTGGGGAGGTGAAGGCCATTCAAATGACCACAATGAGCACTGGGGAGCAAGGGGCAACTGGTGAGGGAATCCCTTACTCTAGAGCTCTCCTTGGCTGTAAATCTTGGCTGCCCACAGCTCGGTCCTGGGTCCTGAACCAAGGGCTGAGAATAGCAAGCAAAGCTTCCCCTGACACACCTGTATGGGGCCACTCCCGAGAAGCTGAGGCAAAGGGCCAGCCTTGGCTGCTGAAAGCACCTCCCTGAAAACACTTCCCAGACAAGGACAGAACCCCAGCTCCAGTGCGAGGGGTAGGCCCAGTGGAGCCATAGGGACTTTGGGGGGAAAGTTAAGGGTGGCTAGGGATTATCACAAATGACCAGACGAGTCCCCGAGGTCTTCTCAGGGATCTTCCCTGCCTGCCCTGGAGGGCCTGTTGTGTGGCCTCCATGTAGTGGTGATGGCTCAGGCTATTGATGCAGTATGGAACTAGCAGCCCTGGGCTCTCAACCTAGTGCTGCCAAGGATCAACGGCCTGACTTGGGGCAAATGACCCAGCCCTCTGGGGCCTTGCCCTCCTCCTCTGATCAGATTATGTAAGATTCTGGCATACAGTGGTTCATCAAGGCACAGGGGACCCCTCCCTCGCCCAGGCCTGCCCAGGGGGCACCAAGTCTGCCTCTTGGCTGCAGGGTGTCTAGGCCACAAGGGACTGATCTAGAAGATAGCAGCTCTGCCATCCCGAGGAGGGCAGGGGGCCGTGCGCCCTTCCACGTGGTGTGCCAAGCAGCTGGGTTCAGGGATCCTGAGCGGCTCTGCCCTGACAGGGAGCAGCCCAAACTGCAGGGAATAGGCTGGGCCCGGGGCCACTCACTCTTTCCGTTGGTCAGCCAGAGAGCTGCCCCGGGTCAGTGCAAACATGTCAAACTCGCCTTCCAGTTGGCCAGAGGCCTCCAGAGACTGCAGGCCAGCCCTTACGCTGCTGGAGCCGAGGTCTGCGGGGACAGAAAGACACATGAAGGGCCCACCAACGGTCCCTGCATGCTAAGCAGCAGTTGAGCTGCCAGGCCCAGGGAGGACTCTGGAGAAGCACAGGGTGGGGGGTGGGGACAGTGCAGGTGTATGGCTGGGGCAGGCCACCTGCTGGCTGAGGGACCACGGCCATGTGACTTCCTCTCTTTAAGGTGGAGGCACAGGCTCCCGCCCAGGGCAGCTGTGAGAACAGGAAACCTGCCTCGCACATCTGGCACAGTACATGGCTGAGCATTGGGTGAGTGATCAGACGTGTGGCGGTGTTTTCAAACAGCCTAGTTGTAGCAGTTCAGAGCAGGCCCTTGATGACTTCCTAGGGCTTGGCACTGGCAGGCAGCCAGCAGCAGGGAGACTCATCACAGTGATGGTGATGGCAACTGCTATCATGTCCCGGGTGCACACCCTGGGCCCCCTTCATGCGTGTGCTTACCCAGTCCTCATGGTGATCCTGGAGGAAGGGCCCGTTCCTGCCCATTACACAGGAGCTAAGGGGACACGGGACATTCAAGTGACTAGCCTAAGGTCACCCAGATGGCTCATATCACAGAGGATTCGGTGTCGAGGGGCGACCACAGAGCAGTGGACTTCTGAGGTCCGAGGGGGCTTAGGAGTTGCAGGCTGTGGGGGAGAGCCCCCTGTGTTCAGTCCTGGGTACACAACCTTGCAGTGGGGCTCAGCCTGGTAAGGTAAGGTTTGGGCTGATGTTGTGCTGCTGGCACTCCAGCTCCACCAGTCTAATAGGAGGGCACCTCCAAGCTGCAGGGGTGCCCACAGCAACATGATGTGCCCTCGGCCAGTAGGGGCACACTGCACTTACTCATTCCTGCCAGCTGGGATGAGAGGCTGCCAGTGGCCACCTGGTCAGGGCCCATGTCGATCAGGTCAGCCGCCGCCTCGGCCTCTCGTGGGGCCTGGGGAGAAGGGAGATGCCACCGTTGCTCAAGGATGTGCCACAAGTGCCCCAGTAGCCAGGACAGGGAATCAGGGAGTCATCCCCACTCTGCCTCTAGCTCAGCTGCACCCCCTGGGAGGTGGGGAAGAACCTTGGGCATCACCTGGTGGCAAAGCCTTAGTTACCTTAAAGGAACAGTGACATAAAACACGAGAAGGGGACTTCTCTCTGAGCCTGGATAAGAAGGCACATCCTATGCTGGATGTCCAGGGAGGGAGGTGAGCACAGCCCTCCTCCTCTTTCCCATCAACACAGGCATGATCTGGGCCCAGAAAAGTGCCTTTACCTTGCCAGTCTGGCCTGTTCGGAACCGTTCAAACCTATGAAGACAGAAACAAGCAGTCAGAGAGGCAGAGAGGCCCCCTCAGCACAGGCCAAGCAGAGCTCTTCACACTGCCAGCCTCCAAATCCATGGTAGTGGGTCACGATTAGGGTGACAGGTCCAGTTTACACCTGCTATCCTTGGGCAACTGTTAACAGTGCTCCTCATTTGCTTGTCAGAGTGTCTCAATCGAATGATCAATTCTCTGGCCACTTGTCATGACCGGCAGTAAACTAACAAACAGGAACAGGCTAGAACAAAGAGGAAAGTGGAGATGCCCGGCACACAGCAAGGTAAGTGCTGTCTTATCAAATGTGTTCAGTGGTGAGTGAGCCTACTGACGTGAGTGCTTGTCAGTGGCTCTCCGGAGTGGTGTCAGAAGACACACATCTCTTACGCTGCTTCATGGAGCCACTGGGATTAGCCTCTGACAGGCCAACAGGCTGCTGAGGTGGCTGGAGAGAGCTGTGGTCTGCTGAGGCCTGGCCCTGTCACCTACTGAGTAACTGTGGGTACGCCACCTCTGAACCTCAGCTTCCTTGTCTATTCCAAGGGGGTGATAGAGAAACCTGCCTCTCAGACACAAGGATCCAGTGAAGACACTATGAGTAGGATAGTGAACTAGGAGGCAGCAGGCGTAGGTCAGGCCTGATGCCTGTGGGTGTCAAGGGGCCCCAGTCATCCCCAGACTGGGCCCTTGGGCCACCTCAGCCCACACCCCAAAATGGCAGAAAGGGACTCTTCTATTCTACTGGGCCAGCAAGCAGGAAGTGCTGGGCAGCTGTGGCCCACAGCGGTCCCTCCCCTTTCTAGACTGACTCAGAATCACTCAGTGTCTTGCTGGATAAAGACAGGAAATGAACTGGTGAAGGCTGGATAACTGTCTTGGCCCAGACTCCACTGGCTGCTAAGTGCTTACAGGTGTCACTCCGTAGACTCTTAGTCACCCCACGGGGCAGGCACCACCATGAACCTCATTTTCAGATACAGAGAGAGCCTGGTGCCCCTTCTATAATAGCACCTGAGTGCCCTCTGGGGAGCTGCTCGTCTCCCATTTCCTGTGATTCTGGTGTGACTGCCTTCAAGGGGCCCTCTTCCCTTCACTAACTGGTGGGTACAATGGAGCTGAGCCAATCAGGCTCTCTTGGAGAGCTGACTCTTGAACATAGTGACAGATAGTGGGTAAGTGTTTGAGGCTTATTTCCTGAAGGCAGCACCCTAGAGTCATGGTCCAGGAGTTTCTGCCCTGAGACCTCTGAGCTGTCCTGGGATCTTTCTTTCCCACACTGTGGGTGGGACTCGCTGTTGTACTCTTAGGATTCTGAAAGCTATCCGTTTCTTTTCTTTTTTTTTTTTAAGGTTTTATTTATTTAATCGAGAGAGAGAGAGAGAGAGAGAGAGAGACAGACAGACAGAGACAGAGATAGAGGCAGAGAGAGAAGCAGGCTCCATGCAGGGAGCCTGACGTGGGACTCGATCCCGGGTCTCCAGGATCACACCCCGGGCTGTAGGCGGCGCTAAACCGCTGAGCCACCTGGGCTGCCCAAGCTATCTGTTTCATAAAGGCTCTTCTAATGAATCCATTTCTTGCTAAAGTTGAGTGTCATGTAATGTGCAAAGAGTCAAAGAGCGGTAGTTAGCGGGTCCACGGCCCCAGAGCCAGGCAGCGGTGGAGTGAGCAAAGACAGTGAGCAAGGATAGAGCAGGCCTGTGTGCAGGGACACGGGAACAGCACAGGGGCAGGCACGGGGGGCAGGGCACACTCTGGCAAAGAGAGGAGAAGTGGCTGGAAGGCGGGGTCAAGTTCATGCCCACTGGGGAAGGAGAGAGCTGAAGGCACGTAGTCTAGTGTCTGAGAGGGAGGCGAGAGGAGCTTAGATGGTGCAGAGAGGGAGCCAGGGGAGGGAATGGGCTAGGGCAGCTGGTCAGAGGCTGGGGGAGGGAGGGCTACCGTTCGTGGCGCAGGAACACGTTGTTGAGGTTGTCGTTGACGATGAGCAACTCCTCGGTGAGCTGCTCATTGGCGATTCGGGGGATAAGCTCCAGAACCCGCTGCTGCATGGCGCGGCACGTCCGGTTGAGCTCCTGCGGGTGGAGGAAGAGAGATGATCACAGCTCCAGGGCCCAGAGCAAGGCCAGGGCTCGGGCTCCAGCCCTGTGCCACCCTGGATGACGGAGGGGCTTCCAAACCGGACTCCAAGCTCCACAGGGAGAGCTTTCAGGGTTCCATAAACAAGCCTCTGGATCCCACCTCCAGTGATCTACGCCAACATCTAACATGCAGCAGACAAGCCATACACAAGACAGAGCAGCTGGTTTAACCTGGCTTTGTGCCGACTTCTCATTGCCACCTTTGCTCGGTTGAAAAACCAAGAATGCAAGTGGTCAGTGGAACAAAGCATAACTTCTCTGGAGGACCAGGATCTTTTGGTAACCAAAACAAAAAATTAAACCAGACCACTCTAGCTGTTATCTGCAAACTCCGATTCTGAATTTTTCCCTCATTATTTTCCCTAAATTATTTGAGAGCAAGACAGCGAGCATGAGGTGTGGAGAAGAGCAGAGGGAGAGGGAGAAGCAGACTCCTCGATGGGCATGGAGCCCAACGTGGGGTTCGATCCCAGGACCCCTGAGATCATGACCTCAGCTGAAGGCAGATGCTTAACTGAGCCACCCAGGTGCCCCTTCCCTAATTCCTTTTTAAATACTTTTTACGTTGGAATCGTTTCAGATTTGCAGAAAAGCTGCCAAGATAATAAAGTTCCTGTGAACCCTTCATGCAGCTTCTCCTCAGTCTGGCGTTTGTCAAACTGAAGACGTTAACGCTGAGCCAATGCTATGAACTAATTCCAGACTTTCTTCAGCCTTGCTGTTATCCCACTAACGTCCTTCTGCTCCAGGATCCCATACTGTACTTAGTCACCATGTTGCTGATTGATTTTTAATCATTAAGTTATATATTTAAGCTCCTTTGGGCAAGAGAAAAAAATGAAAAGCCACAGCAGTGTAAGTTTTTCATTTGTAAGACAGACTCTTTCTTCAGGTTTGAGCCACTAGGTGGACAGATGCCTGGGTCACAGTGTCAAGGTGCAAGGTCGTTGGCACTTTTCTCCAGGAGGCACCACGAGGACCAGACGCTGCCCTGCTCTTGACATTGGTTTCTTTTGGACCCTGTTACCCACCTCCTCCTAGAAATTCCTCATCTGCCTTCATGTGGGGCAGGGCGGGCCTGAGTGACTTGCAACACCCTGTAGACCTCCCCTCTCTTCCTCCTGTGACCAAGCACACTTGTGGCTTTGTACTCACTTCCTTACACCACCCCCCACCTCCTGCCCTTTAAGAGCAAAAGAGCAGCAACTGGACCCAGGCTCCTGGGTCCAAATTCCAGCTCTGCTGCTTATTAGCCATGTGACCCTGGGCATACTCCATGACCTCTCCTTGCCTCAGTATGCTGATCAAGAAAACAGGGATAATGACAGAACCTCCCTCTTGTGGGGTGTGGTGAGGATGAAATGAATGTATGTCTATCAGGTGTTTACATCAGAGCCCAGTGCATGAGAGGTGCTCATTACTTGTGAGCTGTCACCAGGAAAACCCAATCACTCACACCTGAGGACTCCTGGGCCCTGGGGTCTCCCAGCTTTCTTGGCACCTCTGTGAACTAACCTCCATGGGTAGGGTGGGGCCTCAGTGGTCCCCAGCTGTGGATGGGACTGTGGGAGTACTGCATGACACCTAGAGCAAAAACCTGTGGCTCCCACCAGCCCTGGGGCCCAAGACCAGCTGCCCTCTCCTCTCAAAGCTGGAGTTGCTCTCACCCCTGCCTGCTAATAAGCTCCGTGTTCTGAAAGGGGGAAATCAGAACCATCTTATAGATGAGGAGACCGAGGCAAGAGGAGCTATTTTGTTCAAACCAGGAAATGCTAGAGCTCCGAATTCCAATGTGAGGGAGTCCAAAGTCCCTGGTTTCAACCTCTCCCACTGTGACCAAGTTCAGAGTAAGTCACGAAAACTGTGGCATGGGTGGGGAAGGTGGGGCTCACCTGTAGCAGCTCCAGGTCCGCAGGCTCTGCCTGGGTTGGCACCAGCTCCGTCAGCATCTCCGACATCACCCTCACGTTCCCACTCACCATTTCGAGCTCACTGCGCAGCTTCGCAATCTGAAACACACCATGGGCCATGGTGAGCTAAGCCAGGCGTCCAGAGCCAACCGCCGCCGCCAAGGAGAATCTGGCACCAGTAGCCAGGGCAGGGGTGAGGGCCCCCAGAGGAGCCGACCGCAAGTACCCTCTGGGCTCCTGAGCCACAGCCCTGCACTAGGAGGCCTTGGGTGGGCTGCCCCTCGCCCCCAGACCCCCTCAAAGAGGTGCTACCAACCGTCACCATCTCTAAACTGGGGAGCCTGGGTCAGGGAAGACCAAAAGGAGCGGAGCTGAGAGTTAAGTGCAGCACAGATATGGCTGGAGGGTGCTAGCAGCTCCGGGGCCCAGGTGGTAGCTAACGAGGCCCCGGGGGGCAGCTCCCAGCCACAGGGAGAGGAGAGAGTCAGGAGGCCTGCTTCCCTCCCAGAGTGACAGGATCTTACTCCTCCTCTCCTAGGACGGTAGGATTTTTACTCCCTTCTCCCGTCCTGTGAGGACAAGATGTTGTCTTGTTCCTGGTTTGCTCCTCCTGGCCTATTCTGGTATCCCAGACTCTCCCAAGTGTGAGTTCCAGCGCCACTCCCCCACTGGAGTATGATACTCAGATTTAGCACACGTTAAAAAGATGTCAGCAGGTTTTCAGTGATTGAAGGGTTCCGAGGTCTTGGCTTGGGCAATTGGTGGAAATCATGTTGCACAGTCTCCACACAGGTGAGGTGGTGAAGGGCCACTGGGCCAGTGTCTTCTGCTGTGGGGCTCTGTGGGGTGGTGTCCTCAGGAGCACTGTGTACACTGTGAATGTCCAGGAAGTGATCGGTATGGAAGTTCTAAAATTAATCTGCACAGGGATGCCTGGGTGGCTCAGTGGTAGAGAATCTGCCTTCAGCTCAGGACGTGATCCTGGAGTCCCGGGATCGAGTCCCACATCGGGCTCCCTGCATGAAGCCTGCTTCTCCCTCTGCCTGTGTCTCTGACTCTCTCATGAATAAATAAAATCTTTAAAAAATTAAATTAATCTGGACAAAGAATCCCTTGCCTTGGAATACCGCATGGGTCTAGTATTAAGTGGCCTACACTTGGAGAGATGCGTGTGACCTAGCTGATTTCAGAACAGGAATGTTACTATATTAAATTCACGATGCCTGATAGCACCTACCATTTACTGACCACCTATGAAGTGCCGAGCATTTAAATTTTACTGCTAATTAAACTTTACCATAGTCTTAACAAAGCACATATCACTATCCCAGACTTTATAGGTGAAGAAATGGGGGCTCAGACAAGTAGTACATCCACCGAGGTTCACAGATCCCTTCCAAACCCCACAAAAACATCTGGTGTTTGGCCTAACTGAACACTCTCAGTGTAAATTAGTGGAAAAACTACTGACCACAAGTCCAGCGTGTCCGGGTCAGATGGGACCTAATTACAACGGAGTCCGGGAGTGCTATCACTGCCTACCTCAAAGCCTTCCTATGCCCCAGAAGACAAAAGGGGAGCTGCAAATTAACAACCCCTACCTGGTTTTGTTTAGCAAGAGCCTCTGGTAGTGGATGTAACCAGTCTTAATCCACGCAGAGGTTAGACTTCAGGCAAACTGATGACAATAATAACCTGGTTACATAAAATTTGGATTGTGGGGTGATTTTACAATTTTTATGTACCTTTAATTTTTTGTCCAGTTGGGAAAACTTTTCTAGTAATACTTGTAACTCTGGGAGGTGAGTTTATAACTTGCTGTAAGATATCGAATACAGGGCAGCTCGGGTGGCTCAGCGGTTTGGCACCGCCTTCAGGCCAGGGTGTGATCCTGGAGACCTGGGATCAAGTCCCACGTCAGGGTCCCTGCATAGAGCCTGCTTCCTGCTCTGCCTGTGTTTCTGCCTCTCTCTCTCTCTGTGTCTCTCATGAATAAATAAAATATTAAAAAAAAAAGATCAAATACAGAAGTTTCTCTTCAGGTAGGTTGGGATGGGAAGGGACGCTGGCAGGTCTGTTCATAAATCCAAATGAGAGTGAGAATAGTGGATGCACTTTAGAAGGTCAGGTTTCACTTTGTTTCCATCACAGACCTGCGTCTCTCCCCTGTACCTTTATTTATTTATTTTTAATAAAGATTTTATTTATTTATTCATGAGAGACACAGAAAGAGAGGCAGAGACACAGAGGGAGGAGAAGCAGGCTCCACGCAGGGAGCCCGATGTGGGATTCGATCCTGGGAATCCAGGATTAGGCCCTGAGTCAAAGGCAGATGCTCAACCGCTGAGCCACCCAGGCGTCCCTCCCCTGTACCTTTAGCAGCTAAGTTTTCACACTTAGCTGATATGATGGCTCTGGAGTTCTTACCACGCCTCAAAAGGGGGCACCCCAACAACGCAAGGTCTTGACCCACATCCCAACAGCCATGTCTAAAATGAGAGTGCACTGGGACACCTGGCTGGCTCAGTCAGAACAGCATGCAGCTCTTCATCCCAGGGTTGTGAGTTTGAGCCCCACGCTGAGTGTAGAGATTATTTAAATCCATAAACAAATAAATAAATAGAACAAGCGTGCACCCAACACATACTGGTCACAGTGGCAGACATCCCTTTTGGGGTGGCCAGTCTCAGCAGGTGGTCTTGACCCACTGCTCTCAGAGGAAGAGAGAGAGGAGCAGAAGCTAAGTCAGCGTGCTATGGGTCTCTGGTGGGTGAGCTGAGCCTGCAAAGCTACACACACAGCCCTAGGAAAACCTGCCCCGGCCCCTGGCATCTAACACTACACCTCAAACCTTCTTGAGGCTTATGTGGGAAGCATCATAAAGAAGAGTTTAAAAAAAATTTTTGTGCAGATAAGTTTAAAACTGTTTTTTAGCCAGAACCTCTGTTCAAATGGAATCTTATTTGAGCACATAAATCCCACAAAGAAAATGCAGATGCTGTGGTTGAAGAGGCTGCCTGTTGGGCACTCCCCACCCCACCCCCTCCTGGGTGCTGCCTCAAGGGCTCCTCGGGGTACACAGTACACAGTTTGGAGAACCGCTGGCTGGGGTGCAAGACAGAGCCTGATGGGAGTCAGGCACCCTTGAGCTTGAATCCCACCACCATCTCTGAGGACCTGTGTGTGGCTCCGGGCAAGGGAGTTTGTCTAAGCCTCATTTTTTTTTTTTTTTTTTTAAGCCTCATTTTTGAAACAGGATGAATGATACATACTCTATGGGGCTGCTACGATGACATACCGAGAAGGGCCCTTCCTGACCCATGCGTGGCTCTGACTCAGGTTTCTTTACCTGCTCAGTGGTGGGTGTGATGGGTGTGTCACTGGGGAGCGTGGCCGGGATGGGCAGGGAGGTGGTGTGCTGGGTGGAGTCTCCTCCATGGCTGGCGTCAGTGCCCACGGAATTCTGCCCTGATGGTACCTCAGAGCTGAACACGGTCTAGATGGTGGAAGGTGGGATCAGCGAGGCCAGTGGGGCAGGTGGTAATCCCCCACCTTCCCTCACACTGCTCCCCAGGTGACGTCTCCTCACCCTCTGGGGCGTGTGGATGGGTGACAGCATGTCCAAGTCGGTCATTGGGAATTCCAGGCCCTTCCTCCGCAGGTCCTCGTACACGGCCACCACACCTGTCAAGTCAGGTGAGCTGCGGAACGCGTCAGCCCAGGACTGAGAGGGGAGAAGGGGACACGGCCGGTAACCACTGTTCACCGTCTCCCTGGCAAGCCGCCTGCCCATCCCCAGAGAGCAAAAAGTCCCTCCCTGATTGTTGGTGTCTGGGTTATGGCCCTGCCAAGCAAGGCCACCCCACACTCAGACCCTTCAGTGAGTGCATAAACAAGACGGCCCCACACGGCCCCGCAGGAGAAACAGACAGAAGCAAAGGGGAAAAGAGCAACAATGGTGGGGCAGCCTCCAACCCCCCCGCCAGCCTGCCTGCCTGCACTCACCTGGATGAGGTTGAGCACCTTGTCGTGCACGATGGTGGGGGGGTTGTTCTTGGGCAGGATGGTCCTCACCAGCACGCCCTCCACAAAGTCCTGGCTGGCCACCAGCAAGTGGAAGCGATGCCCGCAGTTCTTGACGCAGGTTTCTAAGACCTGGAGGCCGGGAGGCACCCATGAGCACTCATGAGGGGAGGGGGAGCACCCAGGACTGGACCCCATCCTCGCATTCGGTCTCTATCCCAGAGGGGCTGAGAGGGGGATGGTTTCCCTAGAGGGAGACCCTGGAACCCAGAGAAGCGGGGACCGTGCCATGATTCGGGGGCTGGTGTGCTGGTTAGCGGCCCCCGCTGAGGGGTGCCTATCCTGATGCTGCTTCTGAAGTGACTACTTCAGGGGGCGGGTAGCTCTCCAAGTGGAAACCAAAGTGAACTTTCATAATCAGTTGGTGACCCTGCAGCCCCAGAAAAAGGCACTGAACTTCCCTCCCTGCTTCTTGTTCCTACTGCTGGGCACAAGTGCCTTGCTTTTCAGCGTAGCCAGACTCCCCGGATGCGAGTGCTGCTGTAGGGGAGGCTGGGACACAGTGCTCTCATCTCCATCCCAGCCAAACTCCTGCGACAGCCAGGATGTCCCCTCTTGCCTGGCTTGTCCCCAGCCACTGGGATTTGCTTTATGTTCATTTTTCAGGGCATCCAAGGGCCGGTCAGCACCCAGTGTGGCCTGCCAGGCTTTCTGCCCTGCCAACGTCTGGGTTTACTGAGCTTCTATGTCACCTGGCAGGTTCTGTGGCACAAGCTCTCCGTGACCGGTTCTGGAGAGATGTGGGTCCCTCAGTCTGTTCCCTAGGCCAGCAGGTTGGAGAGAACTTTTCCAAGTGGCTTCTCATGCCACTCTGCATCTGCTAGCACACACAGGACAGCGCTTCGCCCGCAGACCTTTCCTTCCCAGCCCTTGCAAGAGGAGCCCCAGGGCGGCTGGAGTCCTGCTGGGCCTGGGAGGAGGTGTGGTTCTACCATGGACAGACACACGGATGGACAGGGCACTCACCGTGAGAGCCAGCATCACCTCATGGAAATTCTTGTTTCCTACGATTCTCTTCTTCACTGCTCGGAAGGCATCTTTGGGACTGGGCAGGAGGACAAAAGGAAAGATGGGCTGAGGAATGGAACCTTCTTATCCAACACATGGGGCTGCCTGCCTAACTAAGGTCAGGAGGCACGGAACACAGGCCATGGCATTTATTTGTTCTGTGTCCTGTTGAACACGTAGGTTTGAATCACTACACAAACTGCCTGCCCCCCAGAAGTCCTCAGTAGGTCATAAAATACCTGGCAAGGATTCTCCGTGTATGGACCCTGGACCCCCTGCACCAGAATCCCCTGGCAGGGGAGGCATGACGGTTTGTCAAACACGTAAACCCCAGGCTCCCAGCCTAGACCCTGAGCCAAGCCCTCGGGGAGGCTGTGTGCTCACCATGCCCCCGGGGTACACTGAGGTTTGAGAACCAGTCACCTGCAGGCATAGAGTCCCAGTGCCCCTTCCCTGGCCTCCCTGCCACATCCTTCTACTCGTCTAAGTAGCCACACGTGCTGGCACCATGCTGGGGGCTGGGGACACTCTGGGGAACACGCAGCTCTGCTTTCAAGGACCACGTGTCCCGGGGAGACCCACATCCATGTGGGGAAGGAGAGAGGCCTGCAGTCAGAGTGAGTGGCTGTTGGGGAGGGGGCTCAGGGGAGTCCTCTCAGAGGAGGTGGCATCCCAGCTGGATGTGAGCAAGTGATGGAGCCAGCTGTGGGCGGCAAGGGAAGTGGTTCAGGCAGGGGTGGAAGGGACTGAAGGGAGGCCGAGTGGGGAGGCAGAGGGAGAGGCTGGAGAGGCCCAGTGGTCACGGTAGGCAGGGTGGAGACACCCAAGTGTGGGGGGAGCCCTGAAGGCCTTGGCGGCAGCCTACACCCCCACCCTATCGCCCACTCCACCGGAACTGCCTCACCCCTGCATCCTGTCCTTCCACACTGTTCGGGTGAAGTCCATGTGGCCCCAACTGCTCTGGCCTAAAAGGCTTTGGGGCCCCCAACTTCCATGCCTACCTGGTGAAGGCACAGCTAAAACCGGCCTCACCCAAGGCTGTCCCAGTCCATTTCCCTGGTGCGCACTGCATTGTGGCTCCTACCCAGGTGCTGCCTGGCTAAAGAGGTGCCTCCCAGAGGGCGGGGATGGCATCTCCTTTGACACTTTTTTTTTTTTTTTTGACACTTTGCCTTGACAGAGCCCAGCCCGCTCCAGGAGCATGAGCGATTCCTATGTCTCCTGGGGCCAGATGTCTGCCAGGCATCTGTTCAGTGCTGACCCTGTCAAGGGCAGGTCAGGAAAGGCAGAAACCCTGACACGGGCCCCCCAACATGGGTGAAGGCGGCAGGGAAGGAGGGGAGGATCCATGGAGGCCTAATCAAGGCTGTGACGGAGAGGACACGCTTTATGTTCATTTTTCTCTGGCGGGCTGGGCCCCTGTCCCAGGAGACAGGGCACTGGGGCCCCTCCTCACCCTCAGAACTCCTCGCTTGCAGCCTCAGCTCTCTAAAGGGACCTGTCTCCACTTCTCATAGAGGGGCCCAGAGACTGGGAATCAGAAGTCCTGGCTGAGGTGCAATGGCTGTGGGGCCTCTTGTCTCTAGTAACAGGTCAGGAGCACAGAGTGGATGACAAGGAGGCCACAACACTGTGCAGGGTAGACCAGAGACTTGAGTTTAGATGACAAGCTTGGTGAGGCCAAGGGTCCCATCTGCTTTGCTCACTGCTGGTCCCTAGTGTCTCATGCAGGGCCTGCAACATAGGTTGTGCTCACATCAACGGCAGCAACTGAACCCACACTCGCATGAGCCCCAGTTCCACCAATGTTTACGAGGAAGCAGGGGCTTGCTTCTCCAAGGACATCCATGAAGCCCCCAGGCCTTCCCAGAGGCTGTGAGCATCCCTGCCCTCCACCTTTTATCTCAGTGGTCCTGCTGTTGTCGTCTGCTCACCGCTCTCCAGTTGATGCACAGGAGGCCAGGGTGGCGCAGGTGTCCTCTACCAGCTGCTTGGCAAGTGCCCTGAGCACCACTGGGGATGCAGAAGCTGCCTGCAGCCACTGTGTGCTGAGCTGGGTGCTCTTTGCCCACTGCCTGCTTCCAGCCGGCCCCTCTCCCCACAAAGCACTACCTGGCTAAGAGGGACCTCACAGGCCAACTGGATTATCCCAGTGAGAATGGAAGAGGTCCTGCTCCGGCTGTTCTGATTTTCCAGAACAAAGGCCTTGTCAGGCAGTCCTTCCTGATGGCTATAGTGGTCACACCATATCCCATCCTTTCTGGGTTCTCCTGAGAAGGACACTGACCCTGCTTGGCCTCTCTGCCCCATTCAGGACCTTGGGCTTATTGCTGGAAGAATCTAAAAGAGCTTTACCTCCGAGGATTAAGACCTAGGGAGGTACAGTGACTTGCCCAAGGTCACACAGCTGGTCAGTGACAGCTAGTCAGAGACCAAGAACCCACGGCCACGATGCCTCCACTACAGCATGCGCCCCGGTGTGACCTGCATACTGGAAATGTTGAGGAGAGGCTAACGCCGATGGGTTCTCATTTCTGCTTTACTGTCATTGTCTTCTCTGTGTCCCCTGACCCCAATCTTAAGGAAATGAAAGTCTATTGCTCATAGAGAAAGCTGGGAGTCCCCCCTGCCCATTCCAGGCCACAGAATGCAGAACGGTGCTTGGGGCCATGTCCCAATGTCGGGGGCTGCCAGCTGGCCTTGTCCTGGAGGATGTGGCCCAGGGATGTTCTAAGGGGTCTAGTTGACCAGGCCACCACTGAGAAACACGCGTGGCCTGACAACTGCCAGGGGCGTGTCTCTCTCTGGTCCGTCTAATGACAGTGTTGGGTGGGATTTTGGTTCCCAAATGCCTAAAACGCCACACTTCTGCCTAGGGTGGGACCTGGACAATGTCTGCAGCCCTCCTGGTACCAAGGGCCACCAGCAGGGTCTACCTGTGTGCCACAGCAAGGATGGGACAGGAGTCCTCCAGAGGGGAGGGCAGGTTGGGCTGCTGCCGGCCATCTCTGGGCCCACCCATCCCCACTCCAGTCCCTCCTGCAGGCCTCACCCTTCCTCCGTCTCGTTGATGATGTCACAGATCTCCATGTTGAGGGCCCAGTCCTCGCTCTGCAGGGAGCCATCTGTCGCCTTCTCTGCAGAGGAGAGAGCACAAGTCACAGTGTGTGTGTGGGGGTGGGGGGAGCGGCCGGGTGCCAGATGGACAAAGTCAGATAGCTGCGTGCAGGTGTGTGGTGCGGGGCCAGGGTGGGAAGAGCCAGGGCAGGAAGAGCCAGGGAGGAGGAGGAGGAGGACAATGACAGATGCTTTCTGGGCACCCAAGAAGGGCCAGGCCATGTGCGAATGGCTACCTGCCTTGTCCCGTTTTGTCATTTAATGCTTTTTTTTTGGGGGGGGGTGTGCTGTACTTTATTTCTGTATTATAGGGCTGTACTCTATCTCTGTATATTTACTCTTTTAATTATGTTAAAATACACATAATACTTGCAATCTTAACCATCTTTTAGTGTATAATTCAGGGGCATCAAATATACTCACAGTGTTGTGCAGCCATCCCCACCAGCCATCCTTGCCACCTTTTTCATCTTGTAAACGTACAACTCTAACTCCCCACCCTCCCCTCCCACAGCCCTGGCAACCACCACTACACTTTCTTTCTTTCTTTTTTTTTTTTTTTTTAAAGATTTTATTTATTTGAGAGAGAGAGAGAGACCAGGAGCATGAGTCATGGGAAAGGGGCAGAGGACAGGGAGAAGCAGACTCCCTGCTGGGCAGGGAGCCCAATGTGAAACTTGATCCCAGGACTCCAGGATCATGACCTGAGCCAAAGGCAGATGCTCAACCACTGAACCCCCCAGGTGTCCCAATACAGTCTTTACAGCTCTGATGCCCTACGTACTCCATTACAAGGAATCGTACAGTACATGTCATTTAATTCTCAACTCTGTCTACCCATGCAATGAATGGGGCCAGGAATCCAGCAGCCCTGGCCTTATAGTGCTTGTTTTTGACATGAAATGGTGGTGATAGTGTTTTATTTTTGCAAAGAAAATGTCCCTTGTTGACTCTTATCTTTTGGTAACCATTCACACGGTTCAAAATGTAAACGGTTCCAAAGTGGCACACAATGGAGAGTAAATCTGTCTCCTGTGTCCCAGACCAAGGGGCCCTACTGGACCAGTTTCCTCTCAAACCTCCCAGAGACATTCTTTACCTACGAAGCAAAGGGTCCAGAGTAGTTGAAGTCTCGCCTCCGTTACCAGCAGCTGGCCTGGCCTCTTCTCCTTGGAGCCAGTGTCTGTCTGAAGACTGGGCGGACACAAGCCACCCCGCAGAACAGCCCCAAGGGAGTGGCAATAATACAAACAAGGCATCTGCATGGTTCTTGCCACAAAATAGATGCTCGGTAAGGGGCAGCGGTTCTTTTATTTTTACATTGAGGTGAAGCCTGCATCACATAAAATTAGCCATTTTAAATTATACAATCTAGTGGCAGTTAGTGCACTCACAATGCTGGGCAACTGTGACCTCTACCTGGTTCAGGCCAAATCAGAGGGTAGGATTTCCAGCCTGGAGTCAGCTACAACATTCTCAAGGCTGTCAAGGCCAGGGTCACTCCCCTCTGCACTCTTCTAGAATCTATCCTCATGCAGCCCAGTTTTTCGTTTTTGTTTAAGTAGGCTCCACATCCAGTGTGGAGCCCAATGTGCAGCCTGAACTCACAACCCTGAGATTGGACCTGAGCTGAGATCAAGGGTTGGACACTTAACTGACTGAGCCTCCCGGGCGCCCCATTAGATAAGCTCCACAGAGCACAGAAATAGTCCAGTCTCCTGCTTTTTTGGGGCCAACATTCTAGCTTACAAATTACCACTGGCTGGCATGCAATGTACCCTAGTTAGGACTGTGGGACAAGATAGGACCGGTCAATGTTTTAAGGTTCAGGGAGTAATAAGACCCTTGGTGTCCTGATGCTGGGCACTATCCACATCCCCCTCCATCACAGCCCTCTCCCCTAGCTCCCAGACCTGGCTCCTGCTGGCACAGGGCACCTGCCAGCACGGTGCCGTCAGTGGTCTGGTGTCGACCAACAGCTCCTGAAGGACTGGGCCCATGTGGCTTGTTATCTGATGTGACTGTACAGCCGTCCTGCACAGGGGACCCTCTGGCTCTGTTCACCCAGAGAGCTGAGGCTGCGGGGGGCTAAGGGGCCCCTCACTTGCTGCACAGCTACTCATGTGCCAGGTCTGCTCCTGGCACTGGAGATGGAAGCAATGGTGGACCAGTAAGGCACATGTGGTCCCCGCCCTGTGGTGCCCAAAGGGGCTGAGGCAGACTGAGAGCCTAGGCCCTGCGACAGGGCAGGGCCCTTTACTAGCTGGGCAGACAGGCCCATTCTGCAGGACGATGCCTGGGCTGGGCTGCCTGGGCTGGGCTGGGCTGGGCTGGCAGTCAGCTCCCTAAAACTGGTTTCTATGATGTTGGTTTTGAATATTTTATTTATTTATTTATTTATTTATTTATTTATTTATTTATTATTATTTATTTATTTATTATTTATTTATGATAGTCAGAGAGAGAGAGAGAGAGAGAGAGAGAGAGGCAGAGACACAGGCAGAGGGAGAAGTAGGCTCCATTCACCGGGAGCCCGACGTGGGACTCGATCCCGGGTCTCCAGGATCGCGCCCTGGGCCAAAGGCAGGCGCCAAACCGCTGCGCCACCCAGGGATCCCTATGATGTTGGTTTTGAAAAGGCCTGACCTTCGTTCCGCCTGAGGTCCTGTGGACAGACAGACGCTAGGGTAGCTCAGGGTACGAGCCAGGCAGCTGGGACACCCAGGTAGGGACCCAGCAGCAGGGCGAGGTGCTTTACTCCCTAGACTATGGCTGGGGGAGGTGATGAGGAAGGTTTCCTTTAAAAGGGCTGAAAGATGGGCTTGTTTGTCCCACAATGATGTCCTGTGGCTCCTTTATGTCACATCGCCCACCCTTGGGGACTTGCACACTTACTGAGCCATGTGGGAAGAACTAAAGAGAGGTGGACGGGTACTTCTCTGTGCGGAGGGAGCCAGGCTCCTTTTTGGAGGATGTGGGGGGACAGTGGCTAATCAAAATGTGGAACCTGCTGCTCCTTCAGAAACCACACCTTGGTGACCCCCAGTCACATGGGCCAGAGGACTGTCACCTCCAGCTCCCGGCCACAACATTCTGCTAAGGCCAGCTGCCTCGACGACTCCTGCCTTGCTTCTTTCCCTCCATGTCCCCTGCTGCCCCAGAGTGAACTTTCTGAACCTAGAAGTGATCATGTCCCTCTCGTGTCCCAAATCCTCCAAAGGCTCCCCCCGGCTCTTGGCCTGACCCACCTGCCCTTCCTCAGCAACCCTTTAACTCCCCAGTTATAGATCAAGCACTGTGAGCTGTTTATATAGGAACACAGCTGGATCCTCCTGGCCCCACGAGGTGTGCATCACTGACCCTACCTGAGGAGGGGACTGACACACAGAGTGGTCACACAGTGGTCCCCAGGGGCCGGGGAGCTCTGCCCTTCCAGAAGCATCCTCCTGTCCCCTCGTCCCGGAGCCCTGGCTCCACCAGCAGACCTCTCAGTGTTAGACCCCCCCGCCAGTGACCCCTGAAAGTGAGGGGCACCTCTCTTCTCCTGGGGGAGGAGCATTTCAGTCTTAGAAGGGATTCAGGTCAGTTTGGAAAGGCAAGCACTAGGTAGGCTAAGGGGCAGCTGGGGGATTTATAAGGCAGAGGAACACCATGGCAGGGAATTGGGGGGTGCAAGAGGACAGGGAGCACAGGTCTGAGCCCTACCTCAGCAGAGCTCCAAGTTCTCCAATCCTGAGGGGGCAGAGCCATGCAGAGGACAGAGTTCTTTTGGGGAATGGGGTGAGGGGGTCAAAAGGAGGTTTCAGTGAGCGTAACCAGGGAGAGGAAGAGGAGGAAGAGGCAGTGGAGACACAAGACCCACCCGGGCCATCTTGGCAGAAGAAAGGTGTGTCCAGAGCAGGACAGGCACAGCCTGTGCCTCGCATGCCAGCTCCCTGCAGCTCTGGGGAGTTTCCAGACTTCCTTAATGAAGAATTCCATGGAGTGGGCATCCTCCACTGAGGGCAGAAATTTAAAGCCATAGGAATCTGGGAATATTTGTTTTGTTTTTGTTTTTAACCACAAAAGTAACTCAGCTTGCTATTTTAAAAAGGAAGAAAAACAAAGAATGATAACCGGCTTCCCACCCTTTGGGCTATGGGTGGTAACCTTCAAAGGTCCCGGGCAGCTGTTCTGCTCTTGTCCCCAGCTCCTGAGGACGCCAGGCCCTGCAAAGCCCCGCCTGGGTTCAGGCCGCAGGGCAGCTGTGCAGGGGCTGGCTATCCTTGGCTGTGGATCATGAGGCCCTTGTCTGCCTGTCCTCTCTGTGTCAGGCCTCGTGCAGACATCGACATCACCTTTCCGGGAAGGCTCCAGAAAGTCTGCCTGGCACAGTGGCAGGTCCAGTCAGGCTGGGCAGCAGCACAGGCTGCAGGAGTGGGATGAGTCTAGCCCCATGTCCTAAGTTGGGGATTACAGGCCCACTCAGTCTCTGTTCCCTCCTCTGTAAAACCAAGGTAAGACTGCTTGCCTCACGGGCACTGTGACATTTCAGCCAGATGTCAGGTAAAGAGCAGTAATGAGTAACTGCTAAGTACCATGACTGTGACCTGGGGCGAGAGCAGGCAAGAGTGGCCACCACAGACACAGCTCTTGGCCCCTGGTCCCAGCCTGATTCTTGAGGGAGGGGGACTCCCCACAGTTGGAAGACAGTGACCTTCTCGGCTCCTTCCACTGCTTTGGAGAAGTCCACGTCTGTGGGCGCTTGGCGGAACCAGTGGTCAGCACCACACACTTAAACCTCACTGAATATTTGCTCCTGCGTCAGTCTTGGTGGGAGCAGCATAGAGCTTTCTCCCCACCACTCTGCATATTCAAATAGTCACCCAGTCTGTGAATTCCAGCCACTCGGTGCATCTCAGTTTGTACCCAGTCTGTCATCACAGTGGCAGCTCTTGTTCAGGCCCTGTCACCCTCCCCAGGCCCAGACTGTCACCTTCACACTCTTCTCTTCAAACATTATTTCCAACTAGAACATCCT